TCGTGAATTCATAATTTTCACTGACCACAAACCTGTGACGTGCTCTCTGAACTCAACTTGAGATAAGTATTCACCCAGGGAATCATGACAACTAGATTCCATTTCACAGTTTACATCGGATATTCGCCATGTATCCGGAGTGAACAACACTGTGGCAGATGCCTTGTCACGTATTTGTTCCTTCACCCAAATCGACGGCATAGACCTTGTAAAGCTGGCTCGTCTTCAAAAAGATGATGAACTTCAACATGAGTTGTCGAAAACAAGTCTACAATTAGTCAAGAAACCCTTAGGTATAGGAAAGGATACTATTCTGTGTGACATTTCCACTAGTACTCCTCGCCCCATCGTGCCTAAAACTTATCGCCGTAACGTCTTCAATACGTTGCATGGCTTATCCCACCCAGGTGTTTGAACTACCGTCAAACTCGTAATTAGTCGGTTTTGTTGGCCTGGTATTAACAAAGAAGTAAGGGAATGGGCACAGACTTGCTTAGCTTGCCAAAAGTGCAAGATAATAAGACAAACCAAAAGCCCCCTTGGCACCTTTCTTATCCTCGATGCCCGTTTCGAACAAGTCCATATAGATTTATTTGGCCCCCTTCCAGAATCTCATGGATATACCTATATGTCAACCTGCATCGATCACTTCACACGATGGCCTGAAGCAGTACCCATCAAGGATATATCTGCTGAAACCGTCGCACGCGTCTTTGTAGAGAGATGGATCGCAAACTTTGGATGCCCATCTTCCATAACAACCGATCGTGGGCGGCAATTCGAGAGCGGTTCATTCCTCGCTCTAACTAAAATCCTTGGTTGCATGCGTTTTCGAACAACAGCCTACCATCCACAAGCTAATGGTATGGTAGAACGTCTACACAGACAGTTGAAAGCTGGTTTATCAGCTGCAAATAACACCCATTGGACTGAATCCCTTCCGTTAGTTCTCCTAGGGATACGAAACGCTTTAAACACCGATGCTAGTTGTACTACCTCTGAGCTAGTATATGGCACGACACTACGACTGCCAGGTGAGTTTGTTTCTCCCTCGAGCTTCCCACCAGCAGTAGATCACACCTCATACGTCAGTAGGCTTACAAACGCAATGCGTTCAGTTAAACCTGCTCCCCTCCGACCACAGTCCATTGATGTCTTCGTTCACCCCTGTTTAAAAACTTCTTCACACGTATTTGTTCGTCGCGACTCTGTGCGTCGCCCCCTAGAACCCCCGTATGACGGACCATATAAAGTAATTAAACGTACAGATAAATTCTTCGTCTTAGACAAGAAAGGCCACGAAGACACCGTCAGTATCGACCGTCTGAAACTGGCTTACTTGGAAGGTAATCCTATTAGCCTAGAGCTAAACGTACCCCATAATCCACAAGTAATTGAATCTCCTTTACTCTTCGAAGAACTCCCTAGCACGGCGAAAGCCACCGAAACTTCGGTCGATCACTCTAAGAAAACGCGTTCTGGACGTCACGTTAGATTCCCAGAATACCTTCACACCTATTTCACATAACTGAGTGGTGCGTTTCACCCAACTCATTATTTCTCTTCAGATACATCAATTTTTTTATGTAGCATCACTCAACACAAGTAAATGATTTTTTTCCTATAACCGTACATTAAACATGCACTTAGAAAAAAATTAAATTAGATGTATATTTTTTTCCCGATATTTTGAACTTTACATTATTTTACTGTATAGTAGATGCGCGTCATATTTTTTGGTAAAAAACGCTTATTTGGTACATTTTCCTTGACAAGGTTCTGCATTTGTTTTCTTCTGCTTGAATATTCCGCAGCATATGCTGTTAGCGCCATGTTGAGGGAGACGCCTCATCTGATTCGTAGCATTCTTCTTTGGCTGCTGACTTGATTTTCTTAATGATTGAGATACGAACTTCCCGTGAGAAAACTTTCGTTTAGGTTAACACCAACAATCGAAGTGAGCCGAATGTATATAAGGACAGCATAGTGGCCGATAAATTTGCATGACAAAAGGGATGATTCACTTCGGCAAATTATACTGTCAAGTTAGCCACAGTGCTTCCCTAGGATTGTTCCCAATGGAAAGAAGCATTATCATTCGTGAATAAATCGAGAGATTCACAGTTTACTTTAGCAGAAAACCGCTCATGCTGATCAGAAGGCAGGTGTTGAAGACCTATTTAGGACCCTTTTTATGAGTGCTGGGATAAAGTGGGGAGCTTCAACGCGTAGGACTTTCCCCTTCATTATTTCCTACTTGAAAGAATGAATTACCTTGGACCATCAGCGTCGTTAAAAATCCCTAAAGTCCTTTTATGTGGGTTGGGTGAGTAAATAGTGCTAGTAGACAGGTGTAAAGCTATATTCATTCGGCATCCTTCTGGGAGTGCACACTAACCTAAACCGCACTACGCTGAATTCAAGTTGCAGCTGGAGAATTTAGAGCTCTGTGGAACCTCGCTGGGACTGCCGAAACTTTGCTCCCCGTCGGTGGCACAGTGGTTAGGACTCTCGCCGACTATGCACATGGTCCGGGGTTCGATCCCCTGCCGGCGCACACCCGATATCTATGGTCGGCCTGAATTTGGGCTACCGATATCCATGCTGAAAATTCCACACTTGTACTGAAAATACGGTGTGGAATCAAGCTGTAAATCAAAATAAAAAAATAAAAATGAAATAAAATTGAATCTAGGGTTGGTTATCGTGAATTACAAGGATTTCAAAAAATCAGCCATATTTACGGCAGCCTATATAGTTCATTTGTCATATTAGGAATGTAGGGTAATGATTATCTCATGGAGTTATTAAAAATGAAAAACAAGATTAAAAATTATTGTTTTGTTTGAAACCTCTAAAACCTTGTAGGTTGAAGGACGGCGGCAAAAGATACCTAACAGCTGTCGAGTCCGTAAGTGGTGGGTGTTGTCCGCACTTCTACTGTAACGCTTTATCCATGTTACTGATTTACTCCATATTTGTCCTTGGATCTAATACTAGTCACAAGAAACAGGCCTAATGAACGGTTTTGGTGGCTAATATTATTTGATAGACTGAGACAACGTTGTCCCCTTACCTGACGTAGACCCTACACTTCTGCAGTGAACCTGATGCCTTTGCTAGCTGGACACTCAGACTAGCAACCATAGATTCTATCCTTGATTTGTGTTCTCATTTCAGTACTAGCATTTAAAAAATATCTGAATTATAGCTTCGCCGGACAGAGATAGTCTATTGGGTCAATGATTGGGGTCAGGATTAAGCTTATGGTTACGATTAAGGATAGACTTATAGTTTATGTCATTTATTTTAATGTTTTTAACTATCCACGTTTTCCTGGTAAGTAGTCGTCTATCCTGTTGCTGGAAACCATAATAATTCAACCGAGGGCTTTTTTGGAAGACTGCAAGCAGGCTGAGAGAGACGAACGATTCACAAAAACAGTTTATCTGTAGTCATCTCGGTGAATACATGTACAGAAACTAGTGTAACTTAGCAACTGATACTCCTCGTTACAACTAGGACGTATTTTTAAGCCATGTCAGAGAAAGATAACCTGTTTAATGCATTTTCAAGCATTTTCTTGTCAATATACATCACTTTTTGAGCAAACATTCCTCATTTTTATGATTGGTCAGCTGAAAGTCACTCGTTTGTTCACACTCCTGGGACGCTATTGTTGAACTTTGCCCACAGAGACATTGCAAGGATTGACAGGCTACAAGAGCTTAAAATAGTTATCACCTTAATGGGTTAACAGGGATTAATCACATGCAATAAACTAAAAGAAGCTCTTTTCAGTTGGTTGGTATAGCATAGTTATTCTCCGCCTACTAAGTTTACTAACGGACGAGCCATGAATTTATTCAAACTAATCGTTCTAAACAGTGCGGACATATTCACTCCTTGTGTTCATCTTTACTGTGAGAATCCACATTCTCTCCATGTAACTATTCTTCGTTCCATATATTTTCGTTTGTTGTGATTCCATCGCGTTTCTCAGGAAGCAATCCACCAAATGACCTCGTAAAACCGATCAAACCATTCCTCTGTTGCGTCTGTTGTATTAACCTTATTCACGAGCTGGTCTACAATTTTATCCCTGTTTTATGTAGTCAGAGTTGGGTTTAACAGTAGTTAAGGTTAAGACTTACTTAGGGTTACCTTCATTCGTAGGGTTAAGGTTAGGGTTCCGGATTACGTTAAGGAATAGTGACCAGTTAGAACAAACGCACATGTGGAGTAAGCTAGTGGAACCGGATAAATAACTCTATAATCATGAAAAGTCGAGTAAAGTGTAGTGATGCTAGACAGGATATCTGGTTATTTTCAGGTTACGCTAAGGAAAGATAAGGGTTAGGCTAGGAGGCCGTTAAGCTTCGATGAACCTAATTAGGGAGACATTAGGGTAGACTTTGGATACATTACAGTTAAAGTAAGAGAAAGATTGGGGATTGGATACGAGTTAGGGATCCAAATCCACTCTTGAGCGGGATTGTCCGTTCCCTTTGGATCACTAATCCGTCACTTTGCTTCGTTACTTTGACTGGATTCATTTTTGTTCATTTATTCGTGTTAAATTACTAAAAATTAAGTGTGTTGTTGCCGTGTGACTGTTCTAATTTGTCGTTGGCGGGCTTTAGGTAGATTGTTCGTTTGGGTTATGGTACTTTGTGTACTCATTTCTTTCTCCAACCGTCATGTGTGCTTTTTTGATGTTCAGCAACTTGAAAAGGTTGCAGTTTTGTTGTTGATAATTCACTTCAATTCATAAGGTATATTTACATCATCATAATGAACACAACTGTTCAAGTGTGTGAACTTTTAGTTATCTATCGATAGTTAATTAAATTCTTTTGTTATTACAAATGTGTACATCAGAATTTTTATATATTAATTGATGCAGTAGTAACTCCTTTGTAAATATTCCACAGGTTCTTTAAGTGCTGAAGAATATTGTCAACTGAAAGGTATATATCAAGTTCTGGATATAAATCAAGATGGACGATGGTCGTAATCTGGTAGTAAAAATTGAGTACTGGTACGTTTTTTCTAAAGTTTCACATATATGTGTATATATATTCTAGTTAGTTGGATAATACGTTGATTTTTATGTGTTCAACATTCCCGGCTGACAACTGCTGCCTTGTCGTGATGGTTGGGCTTGCATACCGCGGTGACTCAATAAGCTACACTGGCTGAGACTTATGTTCCTGCAAGTCCTACCATGCCAGAAAGGTTGTTTTAGTTAGAGGTTAGACTAAAGGCAGTTACTATGGGATACATGGACCCCAGAATCCATTCGGACCGAATGGTTTGTGAACTTGTATTGGTCATCGGCAGCCATGAAAACGGAGCTCTTGACGCTGCTCCTCTACCTTGCTACACCAAGTCAAAGGTTCGGTGGGGGGGGGTCCGTTAAGATAACCACCGGCACCCGGGCAGTATCTCAGCCCTCATACAATATGTGGCACATCTTTTTGGTGCTATATTCTACCAGGTCTTGTGTTTTGAATAAAATAAATATTCGGCATAAATTTTCAGCGAGACGAAAATCTCTAATTTCTGCAATTATCCTCACTTTATTTTTTCTCTGTTGCCTTTTGTAGGAAACTTTTGATTATTTTTCACTAAGACTTGATGTAATTTATTGAGGCAAAAAGAAACAACCCAGTGGACTGTTGACCTTTGTCATCCGGTTTGTGGATGTTGCTCAGTTGACTTTCTACTATTGAGTCATCTTCTGCGTTTATCAAGGCGTGTAGGCATGAGAAATACTTTTCAACGTCACACCTTATGAGTATGTGTGTTGATAATTTAGAGTGAGAACTCTTTTCTCAACTAGACACTTTAAGGTATTCTCAATCATGTACAAAGTAGTACTTGTTTGTTTATTACATTGACTTAATCGGTTTTTCTCTCCTATTCTACTCATTTTATAGCAATGGATGATCTTATTTATCCGAGGCAGAAAGCCTTCGGGATGCAATTCAAGAGAGATTTAAATCAGCTTCTGTTCATATCTATAATGGTCGAAAAAGTAAGTTGATCTAACGCCTTTAAACAACAATAATAATAGTGGCTACTGACTAAATAATGATAAACATTTTTCAATATGCAATTGAATGACAATCTGCATTGGCTGTGTGAATTAATGTTAAGTTTGATCATGAAGTACTACTGGACAAGTGTTTCATTCTTGTTTAGGACTCTCCCAACAGTACTCTGGGTATGGAGTACAGAACTTTCTGGTCGACAAGATGAGCTCGTTGATCATTTAGCCACTGGGAAAGAGTCCCAATGGCCGGTTAATTCTAACTTCTGCAAATTCACGATAAATGAATTATTTTTATTAATGTCACTATTATAGACAAAGCAATAAGAAGACGTAATTTGTCTGAATCGTGTAATGTATTTGCGCGCACAACACATTTCGAACAATCTGACGACCACACACGGACTTGTCATAGGAATATATATGAAATTAATAAAGAGTTAAGAGGTGAGAAAATAGACTTAGATCAAGTTAAAAGGACACATTGAAGGTCAAGATAACAATGAGGACCAATAAACCAAATAACAGAGGTAATAGTACATCTGGTATGATATCAAAACAAAGTTTACCAAGGAAGGTAGGTTTAGTGTGATGAGGAAATGTCGCCTTGAGCGTATAAAAGTGGTTTAAACTTTCTAATTGCTAGGGCTTCCACAAACTTTAGGATACTCCTCAAACACATTTTACAGATAGGTTTAAAAGATGTGTAAACTTCAATTTTACGTACTGTCTGTATAAAATGTTTCGCAATAGAGGAGCTAGGTCTCCCGTTCCAACCATTAATGCTTTCTGAGGATTCTGTTTGCTTTCGGAGCCATTTAGGAATATGCTCTGAGGCCAGCCCTTACTTGCAGAGATCGATGAGTCCTCCCTATGTATGTGTGTCCACACGTACATTCAAATGGGTAAATACAGTGGGAAGAGACATTATTTCTCGCATGTTCAAAGGGCTTATATGGATGGATATATTGGCTTCACATTCTCAACTATTATGAAATAAGCAGCATAAAAAGTCATTTTATCCACACCAGCGTTAAATCTTTGTCTAGTTATCAAGCTGCTATGGTGCCCCATATAGGGTAGCTTGATGTACACGTCTTTCTTAGGAGCGAGTTGGGGAGTGGGTCTTGGTGTTCTGACTACTTAATATCTCCTGATGAATTTGTCTGGATAATTGTTATCAACCAGAGTTTGTGTCAACTTTCTTTCTTCTTCATCAAGTGTGTGTGTTCAGTGCATATTCGTTGGGTTCTACTGAAGAGACACCTATACTAAAGCTCTTTTGTACCGAACAGGGCAGAAACTGTGATAATTAAGATACTGTCCTGTCCAGGTAGGTTTTCTATTAATAGATCGTTTTGTTGACCCATCTAGCCGTCGACTATGCAATGTGTCTAGGAAAGATTAACAATTACCTCCCTCTTCTGCAGACATAAGTTTATTTACCTAATACGTTATGTTTTCATTATTTCTTCTTTCAGAATCATTTGAGGTTACTGTAAATGATCAACTGATTTTTTCAAAACTGAAATGCGGTGGTTTCCCAGATACAGAAGCCGTAAGTTTTCTTTATTCATTTTTCCCAAACTTCTGTGAAAAATATATTACATTACCGGGGCTATTGTTGTTGTTGTTGTTTCAAAGCATGTTAACTGGAAGCCAGAGGGTTGTCAACCAGCAGTCAGGTAATCTAGTAATCTACACCATTTTAAGATGGAATACTATTGAAGTCACTTAGTCAGGTAGTAGACTCCAAAGCCTCGGGATGGTCGGGGAGGGGTGCCTTGCGCTGCGGGTTGGCCACCCCTCCGCACACCTCTTGAAATGCTCCCATATGACCGGGCGTCTTACATAGCCTCTCCTGAGGGAGTCCTACTCACTGCCTTCACGTGGCGGAGGTGTTTTTCACCAAAGTGAGAGGGCGAAAGCGGATGCTCGGCGCTCTTCACCGGGTTGACTGTCCATTGGATGACAGTCTAGGGGAGATGGCTAAACCCTGATTGCAAACCTCCAACAACTGGCGTATGAAGCTCACTGGAGCTCACCGGCAGACGTATGGACAAAGGGCTTGTTGGATGTCCTGGATGTCTGGTCCCATTCAAAAAGGCATATGAACCGAACTCCGGTCACCGGCTGCCAATGGATAGTGGACTCCCTACTCCACTCCTACTGCCTTGTAGGTCACACTTGGTTGTGTAAAGGCTAGAGCTGCACTCTCAAACAAAAGGCCGAGCGATTCTGGGGACATCACTCGTACCAAATTCCCATGAAACTTCATGAACTCTCTTACAAACGACTCGAGATGTTCATGAAGCCGGCTCATCCTCCCTTAGGAGATAGCCGAAGTAAAGTAAAGTAAGTAGACTGAATTATAACTAGTGAACTTAAAGCGTCATAGAGCCAGCCAGAGCCAGTATTCAGTGAGCCGATATTCTTCCTTAATTCCAGCCATAATTATTGAACACTAACAGAGATAGACCTCTACCTCAACTTTATAGACTTTGAGAAGGCCTTCGACAGTGCAGCGTTGACCGCGAAGTAATTTGGAAACTACTCGAGTACTATGGCGTACCCCAAATATTCATCAACCTTATTCAGCAGTTGTACGACAACGATACATGCGAAGTGATCCACAACGGAAAACTCAGCGAGGCGTTTGGAGTAAACACAGGAGTCAGACAAGGGTGCTTATTATCACCAATGATATTCCTAATTGTGGTGGACTGGATTATGCGTCGTCAGACAGTGGGAAACGAGAAGACAGGGATATCCTGGACCGACGTGAATAACCTAGAAGACCTGGATTTCGCGCGTGGATGATTTCTGTTTGATGTCACACAAAATCGAAGACTTACAAGCGAAAACCGACAAACTGGTCGAAGAGGCTGGCAGCAAAGACAGGACTCCATGTGAACATAGACAAGACGGAGGTTATGAAAATAACCAACCAACAACAACAACAGCAGCAGCAACATCCAGCGCCAATCACCATCGACGGGAGGGATTTGAAAGAGGTTACTTCATTCACTTATCTAGGGAGCATTGTTTCAACTACAGGAGGAACGGACGAGGATGTCAAATCGAGGAATCGGGAAGGCGAGAAACACATTCATCAACCTGAAACCAATCTGGAAATAATCTTCGTCACTCACTCAGCCTGCATCAACAACAAAGTGATTCGGATTTTCAATACAAACGTCAAGTCAGTGAGTTCTTCTATACGGATGGATCAGAAACTTGGCAGCGGGTCACAAAGAATATTTCCAACAGCCTGTTGCAGACCTTTATCAACAACTGTCTTCGCTGGCTCTATACTGAAGATCAGATGGCCGGAAAGAATCACCAACGAGAAACTATGGGAAGAAACAAAACAAGAACCAATCGCCAAGCAACAAATATGTAGGAGAAAGTGGAGATTGATTGGACACTCACTCGCTGAGGAGGCCACTGGGTGACATCGCGCGTCAGGCCAGTGCTCGAGTGGAACCCGAAAGGGAAGCGGTGAGTGGGACGTCCAAGATTGACATGGAGGAGATCGTGTGAAGAGGAATTGAAACAGTATGGACTAACATGGATGCAGGTGAAAAGTACAGCAGAAGACAGAAGCAAGTGGAGGCGTGCAGTTGAAGCCCTATGTTCCACTAGGAACCCAAGGGAGTAATAATAATAATAATAATAGAGATAGACAGGTAGACGAACAAATAAGCTTAGAACTTTGCAAGAAACCTTCATCAATCAATTTAAAATGTTTCTATTCTGACATCATCGGTTGGAAGCTTATGTGAGTAACTCAGGTGTGTTTCACATACATGACCACAGTTATTTCCGTAAAGACTAACGCTATTGCTTATTAGGTATAACATGAATATGTATGTGTAGATTGGTGTTTCGATGGAACATTCGACTTTCAGTCATTGGAATTCAGGTTTAAATTAAGTCAGTAGACAACTGTTTAATCTCTTGTGCCGTTATACAATTATTTTGTCTTATATTAGGGTGCATGGAATAAATTAATGCCAAAAGTTGATAATTAGATAGTTGGAGGTAATCGGTCGAAAAAGTCAGTGGTAAAGTCTCTGACTGTGGCATTGGATGGTGACGGGGGTTCGAATCTCAGAAGGAGGAACGTGAGTTGTTCCTTCAAGGTAACTGCAGATACGACTTGCTGACTGACTGACTGACTGGTGAGTGCCAACTAGCATGACACCTAGGTCAATCAAGGCTTCCTGTGGCCGACTGCCTCCAACCATCTGAATGTTGAGAATCTTTATCAACGTGATATAAATCCTTTCCTGCCTACTTTATTACAGATACATTTTATGCAGTTGGTAGGATTCACAGTAGATTGCAGATGCACAGGCTGTCATTTATTTGTTTTCTTGATTACGTAGCATGGCTAATTTCCTAACGGACTGGCATTATTTACAGAGCCACTGGAAACTATCGAGGAGTACAGAGTGGCTGTTGCGTTCTCGTCTGAGGGGCTCTACAACAGTATCCACCTATGACTCCACCGAAGCACGAACTGAGAACTTTTGGCATATTAATATTACTGATTCATGTATAGATTAGATGTGGTATACTACCGAAGTGATGAAACTTTTACTTTACGTACTCTTAGTTCCTACTGTATTCTGAATGAAATGTAACGCTCCAGGCTTGATGTCTTGAAGTTTCATGAGTAGGCGTCGTGTTCTTAAAGGATCAGGTTGCTAGCCTCACACCCAATCTTCCCTCTTTCCCAAACTTGCTATCGACGAGTAAACTAGGTGAGGTTATAGTAGTGGGAGGAGTATGTCGATTGGGAATTGCACACCGGACTACATGCCTGGTTGTGGTGAGCATTCCTACAACTTCTTGTGAACCACCGACTGAAGTGATTATGTAAACAAAAAACTCATATCACCGCTTATACACTCCTCATTCGATCACCCTTTTTATTTACACAAACATTTACTTTATTTCCTTATTGAATTTTAGATTATTTCTGAGTTGGTTGCAATAACAAACGGTGAAACACCAAAAGAGGTGACCAAGTTTGAACCTGAATGCAGTATTCTTTAAGTCAACACTACTGTCTTTCTCTTTCCCTGCTTGCGTGTGTGTGTATGCATGGAGTGAATAAGCAGGCAGACGAAAGTTCAAACAAAAAAAGACAAATTAATGACGTGTACAAAGCAAAATAATCTTTTAACCTTTGTACACCGATGAAAAAATTGTCTTACTTTCGTCCTGTTTTATGCTTATTCTCTCCTGCTTCATTGTTTGTTTCCATTGAGTGATGAATACCTACCACCAATTGTGTGTATGGATTGTCGTTTTTCGTCGCCGTCTTCTTCTTCTTCTTTTTAGCATCTCCTGTTTCAAACCTTTTTTTTCACTCACCTTTCCATTTTGTGATAGTCGATTGTTGAAATGTTTAGTATTTCTAATTTGTGATTTGTTATTCCATTGAACAGTGATATATGATTAATTAAGGTGTCTCTTTCTTTGCGTAAATTAAATTTAAAAATATAAGATGAATTTTTCTATATGCTTAGTTTTAATTCCCTTACTGAGCATACAATATTTCGTGTGACTTAGGTAATAAGATTGTTTTTCTTTCGGGATGGGCTGGGTGTGTGTGTGGGTTGAAGGTGTATATATCTGATCAGTTTGAGTTCCAGTTGGTTGTACAGTGAGTGGTGAAAATCTGTCTGTCTGGATTCAACATAGAATTTGGCACCGAAGTGCAGCAGTTCGAGTTGCCACGTTCCAAATACCACACAAAGGTAGACAAGAAGATGAGTGATGAAGAGAATCAATAGAGTTTTGACAAGTATAAGAGTGAAACAGAATGAGTAATGGTAGAAAGTAATATGAAAGATTACAGAGACTGAATACATCTGCGTAAGCCATTGACAACGATTTTGAGCCATGTCACCTATTGTCTCCAGCCATTGATTCTTAGAGTCCCGAGGGCGGGCCCCAACCCGGAAGTCTGCATCTCCCTACCTGACTCAGTTTAACTGTCAGGGATTTCATGGATTGATTGATGCCATGTTTTTGTTTGGCCACCACTTACTCTTTTCCAACCTGCACCTATATCAGGTGGTAATGCCCATCGGGGGAGGCGATGGTTAGGCATGCGCATCACGTGACCTAGCCATCTCAATCTATGTAACTTTATAGCGTCGTTGATTGATTTTCCCTCTTTGCCCAACACTCTACGCCTAACGTCAACATTACTTACCTTATTATGCCACCTAACGTGAGAAAGAGATCGTAGACATCTATGAAAATATGTTTAATTTATGTATTTGTAAGTTATGCATAAGAGCCGATTGTTCAACAAATATGCAGGAGAAAATGAAATTGGATTAGGTATACGTTTAGGAGGTCATCGAATGACATCGCGCGCAATGGGGGTTGTCGGGACGAGGATGACATGGAGGAGATCGTGTGTCGAGGAGGAGGAGGAGGAGATGAGAGATTAGTGGTCAATCGTGGTGGACCCAGTTGAAGAGGAGAGCAGGAAATAAAAGAAAGAAAGTGGAGATGTGTTGTTGAAGCCTCCCTATGTTCCACTAGAAACCCAAGGGAATAATAATAATATAAGTTATGTGAGTGTAAGGGATTCAATGTAGCTAGAGAACTAGATACGTCTGTGTAATATTTAATGAAGTGTGACTGTCAGAATCTCGTTAAGTGAATTAGCCTTTTAACCGTTCCTTATTGAGTGAGAATGCACACATTCACAGGTCGTGTGTGTGACTTCTCGTTCATAGTTAGTATTGTTTTAAGGTATCATTGTAATCAGTTTTAGATTACCCCCCCCCCCTCGACATCAGTGTGAGGTCAACTTAATGTTAAAACCAGGGGACTTGTCCAGCAGCATAAATTAAATTGTTACGTCGTGTGAATACATTCGAAATAAAAATTATTATACCCGATGGGGAATACACATCACCATTAGCACACTTCCATTTCACTGTGTTCTGCACAGTCGTGTTTCTAGCTGGCTCTACAACTGCCCATTGGCCCTCATTCCCTACCCACATTATCTGTCTCATGCCAATGTCGAAAGTCCAACTGGTCGTCTCCTATCATTCACGTTCCACTCGGAAGCCGTTCTCCTTAGTGAATTTGAACAAAGCAAGAACTACAGTTTTAGCAGAATAAAATGGTACTATCTTTCATTTCGTTGCCTTCTCGTCAGCTGCTTACAGGGCAAAGACAGTATTAAATGTATCTACAGAAACAATTTTAACATACTTCCACAGAGTTCACTTTTAAACAAAAATCAATCGATCAATATACGCATACACTAATAATATATACATATATATATGCAATATTAAACACTATTCCGAACAATAATAATCATACACAATGGAAACTTTTCAGCATTTCGCATTCGGATGAAAAATATCCAGTTACCAGGGCAAAGAAAGACTGATAACCGCTTCTTTCTGAACGCACAAATCAGGTTTCAGGCTCTTAATGGAAATGGCTTCAGCAAACTTGAGGAGAATTGACCTCTTTTGTCTATTGATAATTTTGAACGACTTTTCGATGTCCACCTCATGACCCGCGTCGAGGAGATGCCTGACGATGGCACTGTTTAAGGCATTTGTTCCCTTTAGACGTAAGCTTTTTGGCACATGTTCATAAAATCGTAGATATGCCCTTCTTCTTTCTGTTCTTCCAATGTAACTGCTCCCGCAGATACATGTAAATTTGTATATACAGTTGGAGTTAACATGAGAAGGATATCCATCGATTTTTGATTGCATCAAAGAGCAAGTTGTTCGATAGACGGGAACAAGCTCAGCTGCAGGATAGGCTGTTGCTAGTGATGTGCTCAGCCTTCTGTTGATCATCGCTGCAATGTTTCCACCTTTATAATCAAGCTGAAAGTAGATTGGCTTTTTACCCACTGTGATTTGTTTTACATTTGTGACTTCAGATCTTGCATACTTGTTGATGAACCTTTGAGGGTACCCATTGCTCTTCAATATCTTTTCAAGAAACTCAAATTCTTCCTCTAATTTCTCTATAGAGCATATTCTCCTCTCTCTATAGTACAGAGTCTTGACTAGACCACGTTTAAGCTATTCGGACAAAAGCTATTAAAATGTAAATATTGCCCTTTCCATGCGGTAACTAAATATTTTTCATCTTCTTCGAATGCGAAATGCTGAAAAGTTTCCATTGTGTATGATTATTATTGTTCGGAATAGTGTTTAATATTGCATATATATATATGTATATATTATTAGTGTATGCATATATTGATCGATTGATTTTTGTTTAAAAGTGAACTCTGTGGAAGTATGTTAAAATTGTTTCTGTAGATACGTTTAATACTGTCTTTGCCCTGTAAGCAGCTGACGAGAAGGCAACGAAATGAAAGATAGTACCATTTTATTCTGCTAAAACTGTAGTTGTTGCTTTGTTCAATTTCTCCTTAGTGTTTGACCAATCCATCTCCATTTCTTTTTCTATAATCGTTGTTTTTGTTTGGTTGGTTGTCAGAATTCCTTGTTTGGCTATCCTTTTCTAACTCACTATCTGATTGATATTCATCATCGAGTGAAAACAGCTGTTGAAGAAAGTCGTTTAGCTGACCATAAAAAGTGCTCTGAATCACACAGAAGCACTGACTGAATTGACACAAGTGATGAACATCCAGACCTTGTTCCTTAAGCTGCTACCATTGGATTTCCAGGCTCATTTAGAATTAATCGAGATATGACTGCTTAGTTCACAGAGCAAGAGCAATCTGCTCAGATGAATGTCTTGAAGAGGAGGAACTTAATAATATTAAACGGTTGCTGAGTGAAAAAATGTTATCCAGAAAAGTTCATTGATAAGAATATGACGCCTTAGGAATGCGATGAAAAGAGCATTCCCTGCTGCTGAATTACGCTGTGTCTTCAAAACCACCCACCCCTATTTTGCGTTCGGGAGTAAAAGATAAACTGTCTAATTTCGCTTCTTCCATGTGTATCTACCAATTTAACTGTTCCTGTGGGGCCACTTACATAGGCCGTACAATTAGGTGTGTTTCTCGTCGAATTTCGGAACATCATCTCGCACAGTGGTTAAGTGAAGAACAAACAAAATCTATTCGTAGCTCTATTCTATCTCGTCTTGTGGATACAGAACACAAGACTGATGTCAACGAGGCCGCTTTTTCAAATGGTATATTGGTGTTGGATCCACATTAGAAGTCTAATTTAGTGTCAAAAGAAGCTAGTTCAGACATGTCCTACCTTGGCCATCTAGGTTCGAATGATCCTCCTTTTTGTAGAAATTTCCCTAATTTTAGTTGATATTCTATTTGCTACTATATCTTTATTGTTATTAGAATTTAAGCATCTTTAATGAATTGTAATTCCACTGATCTTACTTTACAAATCGATATTATTTAAAAAACACTAATATTGTTATTGACTACTATTCTAGAATATTCTATGTATATAAACATGCATATATTTAATTGTAGAGCCAGAAGAGGAAATTATCGAAGAGGATATTCTTTGCTGGCTCAATTATTTTGTGTTTTATAGATGTCTGAATGAATAAATTATTGATCGGAACGTCATTCAGTCAATAATTGTTATATCACTCATTTTGTGTTATATAGAATAAGGATGTTTTTAGTTAAGCGCTTGACTATTTTTGATTGGACACTAGTCAGTAACTAGTGTGTAATGTGTCTAGTCCTATCTTCTGTGCAGACTGAATTCTATCAGTCAAGCTTGCAATGTGGCCACCATGCTAGGTGGCTCGCCATTACGGTGCACTGTGAATTGTTGGTATTAGATGGTTGGAGGCAATCGGCAGGAAGCCTTGCACTAGGTTCGTGCTAGTTGTTGCATGGTGGCCACATTGCCCACTTGACTGATAGAATTCAGTCTGCACCGAAGATAGGACTAGACATATTGAACCAGTTACTGACTAGTGTCCAATCAAAAATATCCAATACAGCCCTACAGGAGGTCAATCGCGAGCCTGAATAGCCCGGTGGTAACGTCTCTAACTGCAGTAGGCACTGGGTGGCGCAGGTTCGAATCTCAGAAGGGACATGATTCCCTTCAAGATTGCAGTTACGCCTTACTGATGAATGCCAACTAGCACTACATCTAGGTTGAAGGCTTCCTACCGATTGCCTCCAACCATCTAATACTAAGCGCTTGACTGTTTATCATAAAACTTATTGACGGTTCCTAGTTGTAGGGAATATTTCGTTGATTGATATAAGAACAGAACTTGGGCACTGTGGTGGTAGAGTATAATTCCATTATGGAGAAAATTTGTTTTCATAATGTCTCACAGTGTTATACAGTAAGTAATATTTACGGATGACCACATTTCGAGCACAATTTATTGCCACTCATAGTCATATCAGGTCACTACTCATACAACTGTCTAACTTTATTTATGTAATTCCATTATTTTACATATCTTGAATTGTTTGGGGATATTTTCCATATCTCTGGTATTGGCGAAGAAATGTTGGTATTAAACAACTATCCTATAAAATTCGTTAGGAAGATCAGAAAAGGTCGAGGGCGAAATAAAAATAATGGTGGGACTAATGATGGTAGCATAAACAAGAAAGAATATAATACATCTACAGTTTTACCATATAAGGAGGGGACATCTCAGACCCTATGTAGGATTCTTAATAAAGAAAGAATTAGGGTGACTTTTGATAAAGAGAGGAAGACGAAATTTGCAGTATAAAATGATATCATTCTATTTCACAGGTTCTCATCATCTGCAGACTACCTGAAATTAAAATGGTTATATAAATGATAATAAAAAACTTTAGTGTTTGAGTAGTAGTAGAGAAGAGATAAAATTGACGCATCCAAAAAAGAATGAAAGCATTACGATTTTTAGTTTAAGTTATCATCATCAATTTATACACTTTCAAAGTTGAAAAGAGGGGGGAAGGGTAAGACAGAAAACAGAAAAATTGGTTAACAGAAACAGTGTTAGCTTGTAGGTTCACATAGCAACTCCAAAAAACAAAGGTGCTTACAGTTTATGAGATGAAGATTTGTTCAGTGAGTTGAGATCACTGAATTAGATGACTAATTATTGTAATCAAAATCAAAATTCAGTAACGAAGGGAGTGAGAGGTTAATCACACTGTCTTTCTGTATGCATAAGTCTGGTTAGTTTGAATTGTTTGATTGCGATCGCTTCGGCAAATCGTAGTAAATTTGCTGTCCTTTGTCTATTTAATATTTTGAAGGACTTAAAAATCTCTACGAGATGTCCGGTATCAACAATATGTCTGGTAATTGCACTCTGAGAATATTTGCTTCCTTTCAGGCATAGGTTTCTTGGAATATGTTCAGAAAACCGGATAGAAGCCCTTCTTTCTGTCCTTCCAATGTACTTGCTACCGCAAGTGCACGTAAAT